TGGCGAAGGGTGAAGCATCTCGAGTGCTTCGTCACCTTGTTGTTGAGAACATTCTTGTTGAGGAGGTCAAAAAAAGTGATATCTACGGATCTGTCTCATCAGTTCTGAAGGCATGGCCAATCAATTCAGATATCTAATTACTTGCTTTACTGTTGGAGTGTTGGGTACCTGGGTGAAAAAATTCCTCTGTTTAAAGCTGTGATTATTCTTGCCTAACTTGTTGTAGATGCATCCTTCACTTGTTTTCAGGCCAATGAAGGGAAATGTAGAAATCTTTTCTTTGGCGGTCAAAAGATAATTTTAAGGTCTGGCATCTAAATTCGTTTTTTAACTTCTTGACAACTACTAAAACACTATCAACTCAACCTTCTAGCACTTTTATGTTCACTTTTGTGGTGTGCTCTGAGTTGTGAATTAATCCTGTGCATTACGCAATATTCAGTATTGTTTAAGACTAAGTTAAGTTGGCTTTTTAAAAACCTGTTTCCAGCCAAGGCAGTCAAATTCAGTTTGTTTAACAACTGAAATCAGAAAAATGCAACAAGCGTTCTGAAAGTCTGTAGCTTGTATATTTAGCTGGGTAATACCTGTTTATTGGATAGTAGGTAACATCTGACATGTATGTATACTTTGCAGATTTCCTTCAACCGCCAAATCAGCATTGAAAGTAACCAAAGCTGAGGCAACACCAGGGAAGTCATCCTTGCTCTCCTTAGAGAAAACAAGTGCTCCTCAAAGCCGCACTTCTATGCCTGAATCAGAAGCTGACCAAGTATGGCTCAAATTCTCCCACTTTATTGTGAATATTTTGGCTCCATATTCTCAGCTTTAAATATGAATTTCTTCTGGTGATTGATTCCTTTTATTCTCAACCAGGCTGTCGCTGCCAAATTGTATCCTGCTCTTAGGTTGCTAAGAACCACCCTCATGAAAGAAGGTGGGGAAAGGCTCATGGCACATCACATATTCACGTAAGCATATCCATTTTAATGCAACATATGCTCTTACTTTATTTTAACTTTTAATTTATGACTCTTCATGTTCTATCAACTGCTAAATTTCATGATGCTTATATTCCTACTCAGAAACAAAGAATACTTTTACAGAATTAATTTCTTTAAATAATAGAAGTGGATGTGTAAACACAGTTAAGTTAATTGCTATTAATATAATGCAAGCCCTTCATTCCTAGGTACTGTAAATCCTGGGCAAAATCATCATAATGAATTTATCTGTGGTTGAATCAGGAATGCGACATTGCATGCGATCAGCAAGAGGATACCTCGAACCAAAGATGAACTGCTAGAGATAAGTGGCATCGGCAAGTAAGGGTTTTAAGTTGTGTTTTAAATATCCTATTTCTTTGGGAATATGTTGCGGTCCTTTAATTTGACACCTTACCACCAAAATTATATACTTATATAAGCCAGAAATGACCACCTTGACCACTTTGACCACTTGCTACATTTTAATATAGTGGGTGTCAACTAGCTTAGTCGGTCAAGTCTTAGGTTGTAGTCAAGATTTGTTATTAAATTTCATCCTCAACAGTTTGTGGCTCTCTATGCACTATACTAAGAATTTTAACAAAACCTTGCACAAGCCTTACTAATTTCTTGGTTATAGTATGAATTCTTTAGTCCCTCTGAGTGCCAAAATGGTATCACACTGCACAGGCTTAATTAATTTCTCAATTATAGTGTGAAGGTAAAAAAGTATGGTGATCTTATCCTGGAAACCATTGAAGCAACCATCAAACAGCACTATAAGAGTAGCAGCAGCAGTAATGACAGTGCAGATTCAATAAAAAGGAGAAGAGAGGCTGCCAAAGCTGCTAATGGAATCTCTAATGAAGATGAGGACATGATGGGAAGCACCGGGAGATCAAAGAAAAGAGCTGTCAAAACAGGAAAGGCTTCTGAAGTTAAACCGATAGAAGCTGATATGTTCCGTGACTGCCTAGATGTTGATCTTGATTTTGATGACTCGGTTTATGAGATGCAGGCTAATGGGATGAATCCAAAGAGTGAAACTAATGTTAATGGAAGAAAGCTACCTATGTGGTCTGGAAAAGAGAATATGTAAATCAGCTAGAAGTGTAAATTTTCCTTTAAATCGCGCTCCTTAATGTGTCGTGTACAGTGATTTTGATTTAGCTTAGGCAATGCCATTATAGGCAGAATGTGCAGTGGAAATGATGTTCTGCTCTTGTATTTAGCCAAAGTAGACAAAATTCATGTAATTTGATCCTGCATTTAGTTGAATTTTTGGTAAAGTGGACAATACATTTTATACAATACCCTACTACAAGGCATCTAAGAAATATGCTGATGATTTTTTCAAATGCAATTGCTGTCCACACAGGCACACACCAGTTAGGTGCATCACTCAACAATATTTTCTTTGTTTATTTTTTTAGTTGCAGCACTTTAAATTTAAATATATACAGATTTGTTTATTACTCCATAATATATAAGGTCATAAAAATATTAATAAGTTTACATAAGTTAAGATAAATAAACTCTAAAATATTAACATATAGGAGTACTTCGTAAAGTTAGAGAAGGAAATCCATGTAAATCAAATGTTCCTTTTAACATAAATCTGTGTTGTAAAAAAATGTGTAGACTCGTGTAAGAATTGAAAAAAATTAGATAAAATATGATATTTGTTACTCTCTCCCACTCTATTTTAAAATTATTTTTATACTTCGTATTTTATTTGGAATTGTTTTTTGTGAGGCAAAAACAGTCAAAAGTAAAAATAATACGGAGTGAGAATGTGAGATAGCTTAAGTGATTAGAGCTTCTCTCCAGAATTAAGATGATTTTAAAAATCGATTCTTACCCCTCCCCTTTGTGGCTTTGTAAACAACAAATAAACAACAACAAAATAATATATATATATATATATATATATATATATATATATATATATATATATATATATATATATATATATATATATATATATATATATATATATATATTCTGCAGTAATATATAAATTGAAAGGGGTTTTGGACTTTTGGGTGATAAATTTTACTTTCCCAAAACACCCCTCATTTAAGAAAATTACCATCCTTTTGTTAAAAAAAAAAAAAATGTAACTACTATCTTAAAAAACTACCATCTTTAGTTAAAAAAAAAACCTCCGTTATTTTTTTTACATAAATATTTTTCAAGAAAAATCAAAATACATAGTATATTATTTAGCCTACATGACATCATCAACATATATTTTTTTTAATTATATTTTATCAATAATTCTTAAAACTACTAATATATTTTTTTAAAAAATAATTAAGCGATAATATTGTTGAAAAAAAAAATCGAGCTTGGTAGATTACTTATATTGCACACGCACGCATTGTGCGCGTCTCTTAGCTTGTATATATATATATATATATAGAGAGAGAGAGAATCAAAAGTGTGTGTTTTTTTATTTTAAAAAAATTTATTTATTTATTTTAATCTATATTATAATTACAGAGATACTTTTCACGAGAATCCTCCAAAACCCCAATACTCAACTCTCATGCATTTAGTTTTTTTTTTTTTAATAATAATCATAATAATAAAATACTACTTATCCCACTATTTTATTTTTATTTATTTATTTTTATCATTTTTTTAAAAAAATCAATAACTACCCATCTAATATTTCCTTTTTGTTTCTATTTGTTTTTTTTTTCGAAGAACTACTACTAACATTTCACTTTGTGTTTTTTTTGGTACGTTGTATAATACATGACATGCTAATATAGCACTCAAAATCTCCAACAATATGTACTAACATTTCAATTTGTTTTACAAGTATTTTTTGGTACATAGTATAATATATGTCATGCATAGCACGAGTATACAATTCCTTTATCAATAATTCACTTTAGTACTCTAAGTCCCCAACCCTTCAATTATATGCATGTTTTAGGGACTACCATCTAAATAATTTCCCCTTCTCTAATCATCAAAAAAAAAAAAAAAATTTACAACACATTTTTGCGCAACTGGCCTCACCGAATAACTATTTGCAATAGATTAAAGTATATAACTCCTAAAGCAAGACACTAACACATATGACACTAACTGAGTAACCCGAGTATGTAACCCCTATAACACTAAACTGGTAACCACTATAACTTTGACAAAGTAAACCCCATAGTAGCTAGCTACATTATTGCGTGGCCACCGACATAAAAGAGTAAGACCCTATTTTTTGAGCTTCTAAGCAAAGCAAGGAATATCATATGCAGAGCAGGTGTTAGCACGACAGAACAAGTGTCAGCACATTATTAATACGGTATTAATACTCACTAGAAAAAAGCAAGCAGAGTTCAACAGAGTCAACCAGTTCTAAACCGACCATTGTAGCCCAATTAAGTATAAGGCCCCGTTCTCTTCTCCTTATTTTTTATTGAACTGAAATTATTTTTACTGAAACAAAATTATATTTGCTGAACTTAAATTATTTTTACTAAACTTAAATTAATTTTACTAAAATGAAATTATTTTTACTGATTTTTTTTGTTATAACTCTTCTTTAAGAAAACTGAATTTTACTGAATTGAACTTATTTTTACTGAACTGAAATTAATTTTACTAAACATAACTTATTTATACTGAATTGAAATTATTTTTACTTAATATTATTTCTTTAAGTTGAAGAGAACAGAGCCTAAGTTACGATATAAAAATCAACTTTTTATATTTAAAATATATTGTTTCTTATATATTCTGTGCATTTTACACGGATACACTCTAGTTATTTAGAAATTAGAAGATTGGGATTGACATAGTATGTCACCAGTCACCATGATATTGCACGTAAACCATCCACGTGCTAGATGATACATGCATTCACCCATGCACAATATACTAAGGACACGTCTTTGATCTCACCCCAAACTTTCATTATTTATCTTTCACATATATATATATATATATATATATATATATATATATATATATATATATATATATATATTTATTTATTTATTTATTTATTGAATAAATAACCAATGTAACAATTCTACTTATAAATTAGTAAGTGTACCCCTTATGTTAAATTTAGTGCCCAAAAAAAATCACAAATTAAAGAGATAGTGTAACAAACTTATTTTGAAAAAAAAAAGAGAAAAGCTTAGAATTAAGAAAAAATGCAAATAATCACACCACCACATGGGGAATATATGAGAGAATCAAAGGCTCATATAATGAGAAGTATATGTGAAAAAAAGGTGAGTGATTTAGTGTTAGAAAAGAGGAGGCTAGTAGAGGTGCCATATTCAGCCACCCTAGCAGACACCATGAACACCCTAGTGACGAACCATGTGATGGCGGTGCCGGTAGCGGCACCGCCAGGACACTGGATAGGGGCAGGAGGATCAATGATAATGGAGACGGATAAACACACCGGGGCGGTAAGAAAACATTACATAGGTATGGTAACTATGTTGGATATATTGGCTCATCTTGCTGGTGATGATGCTGTTAATGGTGGAGATTCTAGTTCTAATGATGTTAATAACAAGTTAAATGTTACTGTTTCTACTATTATTGGTCATTGTCTTGAGGGTTTGAGCTTGTGGACTCTCAATCCTAATACTAGGTAAATAAGCTACTTGTATATATATCTATATATTTATTTTAATTTTGTGCTATGCTCTCTTTGTATTTTTTTACTTGTAATGTTTTGATTTGATATGACTTTCACGCTTGAAAATGCATAATGTTCAGATTAATTAGTAATAAAATTGTATATAGTGATGAATATGATGATAGGAGCTCAAATTAATATAACGCTATTTGATTATTTGTATAAATCATCACGGATAAAGTCAGAGGTAAACTATGTAAATGGTAAAAAAGTCAAAATGTTACATAAGAAAAAAGTACTTCCTCCGCTCTATTAATATTGCAACAACGGACTTTTTACACTATTCATCACTCTTGTTTGACCATATTATATGATTTATACGTTAAGCAAAATATAGTCAAATGGGATCTTGTTGGATTCGTCTCATAAAATACTTTAACAATATTAATTTTTTTTATAATTTTTACTCTTATACAATTATAGATTTTTAGCATTTAAAATGTATTTTGGGATGCGTAATTTTCTCCTTGTTGCAATATTAACAGAACGGAGGAAGTATCATACAATATACACATTTTACAAGAGCTAAGCTAGTTTTATTACGTGTACTCTCTTTTGTGGATATTAGTTGTCATGTTGATGATGTAATATAAACGTTGTTCCACATCATGGTATTTAATTAGTGAATATTTTTAAAGTTCAATTGAAAAGTCTGTGACTAGTCTGTGAGAGGTGCAATTTCGGTCCAATATGCTAAATTGCTAGCCCAAAATGATAGTGAATATAGTATTCTTCAAAACTTATTTTGTGTTTCCTTTTAGGATTAGAAGGAAGCACAAATGATGGACGAGATTTGATCTTTTCTAGTTCTTATTTATTCATAATTTTATTGTTAAATGCTATGAGTATGCCATTTTATTTCGGTCCAATATGCTAAGTTGTTGCTACCCAAAATGACAGTGAATAAATATTTGATCTTTTCTAGCTCTTATGTATTCATAATTATATTGTTCACAACAATGAATGCAGTCTCCTAGATTGCATGGAAGTCTTCAGCAAGGGAGTTCATCGAGCGATGGTACCATTAGACAGCCATATGGATAACATCTCCGGTGTAGAGCTCGTAGAGTCATCATCATCTTACCGGATGTTAACCCAAATGGATGTCATAAAATTCCTGAAAGCACACGGCCAACAAGAGTTGCGCGATGCATTGGCACGCACCGTGAGTAGCACAGGTGCCATCACTGATACTGTACTTGCTGTGACTCGTCAAACTAGAGCTATGGACGCCATCAAGTGTTTGAGAAGTGCTGGTCTTCAAGCTGTGCCCATAATTGAGGCCCCTGATATTCCACCAGAAGGTCACAAACAGCTCATTAATGTAAGTGAAGTCACAAAATGTTCTGTTTAATGATCTAATGCCTAATATGATATAGATTTATATAATTATATATGCTAGTAATTCTGGTTCATCGTGTATATACTATCTTCGTTTCATATTATTTGCAATGATTGTAGGGATTCATATTATTTGCAATGATTGTAGGGATATGGCAGGAAACTCATGGGGACCTTTTCAGTTACCGATATAAGAGGATGCCCGGTTGATTTGATGCAGTCTTGGCTACCATTGCACGTAAGGGAATTCATGTCGAGAGTGTATCAAAACCCGTCCCACGGGGTACCAGACTTGGTGAACTCTCCCAAGTTGCTTGTGAGTTGTTATGCCGATTCTTCCTTATTGGAAGTGATTGACTTAATCACGAGTAGACATGTGCACAGGGTTTGGGTTGTCGATGAATTTGAGTATGGTACGATCCTCGGGGTTATCTCGCTCACAGACATAATCCGAGCTGTTAGAGCTGCTCTTATTTCGGCAACCTAGTTAGCACGATGGTTTTGAAGTGTTTCTAACAATGTATCGAGGTTTTCAGACTTTGGCTTTTTTTTGTCATCTGTATTCCAGTGTAATGTCTAATGGCTAGTTTGTTGCTGAGTGTGTGCTTCTGTAATGGCTAGTTTGTTGCTGAGAGTATGTTTTGGGCTCGCTACATTTTCTCTATTCTCGTGTTTGATGTAATGTTAAATTGGAGCTTGTTGTAAGGATACTAAGTTATCATATATAGTAGTATGTTCGTTTTTGCAAGAATATATTTAACGTTATACATATATGGGCGCATTAGGAAGAATCAGGAAGAGTATCTGACTGAAATTTAATTCCGAATAACAAGGTACGTAGTACTTAAAAAAAAAACACAATTCATGAGTCGAAGCATGAACAACTCTACATCTAAACATGTATGAGAACATCGCTTCCCATTAGTAACTCATGAAAACATTTGTTGCCATTGATTTTTTCACATTGTTCGTCATAAATTGTTGTGATAGACGAGACACAAGGGAAGCAACACCCATGCCATGGTACAAAAGGCGTATCTAACCAATAAACATAACAGATTACCCTGACTTGCAGTGAACGAAACTACAATAATCTAGTTGACACCAGAATCTATATCTAAATGTAGGCTTTGTAGACGCCAATGCTATAGGTGTCTGCCAAATGAAGTAGTGGCTCAGTGTCTCTTGGATTTCAGTTCGCTTCTAGATTGCATCATAGCTGAAAGCTTATTAACCTCGTATAACAATCCTGCGGAGAACAAGAAGCTGAAACGAAAATTTCACTGGTTAAGTTCATTCCAAAATTGAAGCGTTTCACACAGAAACAAAATCCTCAGGCAGAAAATAAATTATTATAAATTTAAAGATCATTACAAGACCCGTGGAGTAAAAATAAAATAAAATTGTAAACACATGCTAGATGCTACGGAGTATGAAGAAAGAACAGCAGAAATCCATGATAGAGAAAAGTTTTAATTAATGTGTTGATGATATTACAAAGCTAGAGTAATTGACCAATGAGAATACATCGTAATACAGAATAGTATGTTGCTCACTTGCTCTTATTGGTAGATTCACAAAAATCATAGGAGATTTTTTTTTTTTTTTTTTTTGGCATAGACTGTAATGCTGTATGCAGATAGGTTTTAGAGAAAAAGCATAGCGAACAGGACACAAAAGCCCTCATCATATGAAAACTATACTATTAAAATCTCCTGATAATATGTAAATAAATAAGATTCTACTCTATGGCTTTGGATTAAAATGGCCGAGATAGAAAATGGCTCAGTAAATTGTAATCTTAATATTTCCTAGTTCAACTAGGATTATTGCTTTAGGGATCAAAGGTAAATTGGAAACAGCCTTTCTATATGTAAACAAGAAAAAGGCTATGTCCCTAAACTCATTTGCTATTAATGGGAGTCTCTTTGATATTGGCCAATTGTTTGGCTCTTAAGTCTTCATAGACATTAGTCATTACCACACCATTGACTCCACTGCCCTTTCGACCCCCCCCCCCCCTTTTCCCCTTCCCAGTGACGGCTCTACCTTCCCTCTCCTTGGTCCATTGCATTCTCCTGGCTACTTCACCTTTCCCCCCACCCTCATCAAACCAATCACTAGTAAGTCTTTGCCTTCTAGTGGGTGCTCAAGCTCTCCCTTCTTGCCTCACTCTTTCCAAATTACCAAACTCAATCAAGAGTCAAAACCTCTTTCTTTACTTATAGTAAGCCTCTCAGTGGCTCAGTGCTATCCTAACAAGTCAGTGAAAATAGAAAACCAAAACCATTTCTTTTAATTAACATTGGCAGATTTTTGGACAAATGTGATGCAAAAAATAGACTAAAGCAGTGATCTTTTGCCTCAAAATCCTTAAAATTATTAGAACATGTTAGATCTGATTTTCATTAATCTAAAGTATTTTTTAATTGCAAATTGAAATTTTCAGGCCTTATTGGAACTTATCACCCTATTTAAAATTGGTTCAATCTAAATTTTCTCTGCTTATGTGAAAGAAAAGACATCCTCAGTTGAACATGTTCGACCTAGAAAATGTTACTGCTTATAAGAAAGTTCTAGCAATCCACTAAAAAGAAATTGGAGAATGAGGTAATCTAGTTTCATATTTTTTTGTATCATGCATAGGTTGCAAGAATGAATAAATGTACTAAAGAATCAACTCTAAATTTTGGACCAAGATCCTGCGCCAAATTTAGTTGCTAAAAGGAACCTTTGAAAGGTCTATAAGTGTAAAAAGGTCAATCTAATATTACATTATTGATGCCCAATCGACCTCATTTAACTAGAAAGCCAAGCTGATATCGAGATTCATTCTTTATCACTCTTTCAATTAAATCCGAAAGCTTACGCGAGAATTTATTTAGATGATAAAGATAAGTCTTACAAGTGTGAAAGCAATTAAGAGTTAAAAAAAAATATAAAAAAAACACTAGCAAACAGAAGTGTAAGGTTATAAATTTTGGATAACAAACATATTTATGTAGAATTTTTCATTGTTTATCTTGTATTGTCAAAGAAGCTTGGCCCAGAGGTGTGGTCAAACCGCACTCTCCTACCGCACTCTCTTGATACAGCTATGTAGCATATATCCCAACAGGTAGATCACCCTTTAAAAGGTTAACAATAAATCACACACCCAACTTTTGAAAGCACACTTGGAATATATGCTCATATATTAAGCATATTCACTATTACAGCTCAGACACTGGTATCGTGTCCAATTTAGCCATTTCAAGAATAATTTCCATGAATTTGGCCCAAAAGTATGGTCAAAGTATCCTATCCATGCCTAAGGATCCAACATGGGTACTAAAAATAAATTGAAGACTTCGAGTAAAATAGATTACACATATTTTAAATAAAATCAATGCACAAATCAAACAATCAATTATTAAAAATTTAGGATTCATTTGCATACCATGTTGTGATACAAACTCGGTGGACAGTACCAGCAACAACTAGAGCGACTAATTCAGCAACTATAACTGCAAAAAAGAAAAAAAATATATATTAAAGCCAAGCATCACAAAATAGTTCATATAATCAACTTTTTTTTCTTACACTAAGTTTGGATAGCAATTGTTAAAGGAAAGGGAGGGCAGGAAAGGAGAGGGGAATTGGGAAAGACAAGTAAGTGAGGTGAGGGAATGAAAGTGTGAAGAAAGGGAAGTGAGGAAATAAATGAGCTAAAAAATTCCTTCCAATTATTTACAACATTAGAAGAGCTTAGTTTATTTAAAGGGAAGGAAAATAGATCCTTCCAACTCCCTTCTCTTACAAACACGGGAAGTTGAATCCCCCACTTTGTATTTGGCCTCTAAATTACCCTAACCTGACACACTCTTGACGTGTACCTTCTGTATGATTTTTTTTGTTCAACATTTCTATATGTTCGACAAAGCTTCATAGGGATAACTTACTCCCCACAAAGATATATATTTTCTGTTCAAATAAGCAGAGCATAGCACAACAAAAGAAAGATTGAATTTACCAGCACCCCACCCAGTTTTGGTGCCACTGGACTCTTGAAAATTCGCAATGAACTGCAGTAGAAAATAAACAAACAGAAACACATATTACTAATAAAGCTAAACTTAAGTCACATGCAAAACCAAATATCTCATAGATTCAGAACTAGAGCTCAAACAAACGAAAAATTAGATGGCAAACTCACAATGAAGAAGAAAAGAAACAATAGAGAGCTAATGAACCCTCCAAGAATTGTGAATAACTCTGATGATGCTAGCTTCCCTCTATAGATCACTTCAAGTGAAAGAACCACAGTGAACATAAGAAATGAGAGCAGCATCGAATTTCCGGTGCTCGCCATTGCCCTTCATTCAAGAGGAGAAAATGGCAATCTTAATATTATGTAATTACAGAAATAACAACCACATCAATATAGCACAGACTCAAACCAACGCAATGTCACTAATCGGAACAAGACATCGTATTTAAGCAAGGTAGCAATCCAGTTTTATTTCGACTAATATATATATATCGATCATAGTAATAGATGAATTAACACACAATTGATTATAATGCCACTTTGAATATCCATACAACGTTTCGAGTGCGAAAATTACGGCCCATCTTCATTGCTTAAGTGCTAAATATCTAGGTCTACTAAAATTCAGATCAATTCCATAATACTGATATCAAATCATCAGAATTTCAACAGATTTATCAACCAAAACCTAAACATAAGAACAATAATTAATCAATAATGTCTCATACTAATTCAGCTAACAAATTGGTAAAATATGCATCAATATCACGGAATTAACAAGATAAGCAGCCATTATAGGGGAGAAATCTGGAAAATATGCGAGAAATTAAAGCAAGAAACTAAATAATTAGAAGCAATCAAACAAACATTCGAAAAATGAATCATATATAATTTGAACAGTAACACTAAATGGATCGAAGAATTTGAATATGAAAGCAGTGCGATTTTTGAAGAGAGGGATTGAAGAGCTTACCAATCAAATCGGCAGCACAAGACAAGAGAAATAGCGTGGAGATGTTGAAAGATGGAAAGTATGGAAATTAAAACCTCTCTCGTTGTGGATTTCTGGAAAAATAAGGAGTTCTTGAGGGTGATATAGTAATTTTAAACCGTACTTTTATTTTAACCGTGGAAAAAGGGCTTAGCACCGGTTCAAAACCAGACCGGAATGGATCGAGACAGGAATGGACCCAACCAATTAATTACGGTCCAGGTTTTGGTATAAATCATGATTCACGACACATGTCATGATATGAGTAATGACTAAAGGTCGTTTAAGTACGTTACTCATAAGGATTAAGTGTCTGTTCACTTCAACTTAATTTTAGTTTAGTTCAGCTCCAATCAGTTCAGTTCAATTTAGTTCATTTCGGTTCAGCTCCAATCAATTTAGTTCATTTCAGCTCTATTCGGTTCAGTTCAGATCCAATTAGATCAGTTCAGTTCAACTCAGCTCCAATCAGTTCAGTAAATGTGAACAGGCCCTAATTCATGACACATATCATGATATGATTAATGACTAACGACCGTTTAAGTCCTTAGTCATTAGGATTAAATCATGACACATGTCATGATATGATTGGTTTATTTTAATAATTTATTTTAATTAATAAAAAAAATCTCGATTTTCGCGACGAAAATTATTCGGCTAAAGTTTTGGTGGTTATTTTGAATTTTTATGTAATCAAATTAATCTCAGAATTGACAAAAAAATAACGTAAATGCCTCGCTTTGTATGGTAAAAGATATCTCAATTAGCGAGTCATTTTTTTAACCATGAAAATTGATCGGATTTTAGGTTTTGGAGATTATTTTGATCCTTTATGGAATCAAGTTTAACTCGAAATTGGCATTTACATTAATTATTAAAATATTCGGTGACATTTAATGAAAAAGTTGATTAAATAAATACAGAGTAAACATAAACGAGCTTTGATCGAGCTCAAACCCAAATAGTCTATTGATTGACTTGGTACATTTACAACCCCTATAGTGCTACACCTACCTACCCAAAGCATCAAACCTCTTCCTGTTTTTACAAACCCAAGACCAAAAATAGCAATTCTTTGCAAATCATCAAGTCATAAATTTTCTCTCTCCTCTGACCAGTGCAGTGCCCACAATTTCTGGGTTCCTAAATTCCCAGATCTAATTACATCTTTGACATTTCCCCATAAATCCCATCACAATCACACCCCATTCCCTCTTTCTCTCTCTTCCTCCTTCGATCTCTCCGTCATTCCCTTTCCCTTTCCCTTCCCCCCTTCTCATTATATATACACCTCCATTCTCCCTAAAATGTCTATCTTTTACCATTCCTCAAAACTCTTCCTTCCAATCCAAACATGAACTCCGATTCCCTCCGTAACAGAAAACCACCCCTCAACGGTATTAGTAACGGTAACGGTGTTTACTACAGTGACGGTGACAGAATGACGGTGATGAAAGGGAAGAAAGGAGGATTGAGTGGGTTTATGGAAACGGGCGTCGTTTATGAAGTGGGGGATTGATGACGTGGCTGGGGTGTTGAAGTATCATCCATTGCCCTGCTTTTTTGCGGTGGCGTTGCTTTTCTTTATGGGTGTTGAGTATACTTTACGCATGATTCCGAGCGATTCTCCACCGTTAGATGTTGGCTTTGTTGCCACTCGTTGGCTTAATCATGTCCTGTCTACTAGTCCATCTCTTAATACCCTCTTCGCCGCTCTTAATACGGTATCTAATCTATTTTCGTTTATATTTAATGTTTCTATTATAAACTCGAGTGTACCAATATTATATATATTTTTTTATGGATCGGGTTCAAATGAGCTGGATGCCTGGATGTAGTCGTTTGAATGGACGGTATCCGTGAACATAATAATAAGGTAAGTCTAATGGAACTAGAAAAATGTAACTACGTGAAAGTAGTAATTATGGTGATTTTAATTTAATGACTGATATTGTAACGAGTTAAATGATGATTTAAGTGATAATAAATAATAATCCATTGATTAAGAGAAGTTAGCTAAGTAATCAGATAATATTGAGTGGACTATTTAAAAAAATATATATATTGAGTGGATGACGTTTATACCCTCTCATTTCTTGATTAATATGGTATTTTATGATTATATCATTGATGAGTTGATGGATGAAAGTTAAAAAAAATTTTGTTTTTAGAATTTGAAAATTGGAGAATATTTATCTCAATGAGTTCAATGTATGGATTATGAAAAAGAATTAATCTTCTTGCCTAATCCATGCTTAAGAGAAGTTAGTTAAGTGATCAGATAATATGAAACGAGTTTAAGCTTTTGGGCTCTCATACCACGGAAAACATGGGGATTTTTATCTTTTTTGTAATTGATTGATGAAAAAATGTTGGAGTTTCAATATTATTTTTGCCTCATTAACCCAAGTATAGGTATTTTGGAAAAGCTTTAATCTTCTTACCTAATCACACTCTTTTTCTTTGTCATGTACTCAGTTTAGATAGAAAGAAGTATAGATAGGAAAATGGGGTTGAAGTTTTAAATTATTGGTTTAGGGGATTGGGGGGTTGAGATTAGTTGAATGTCATGTAATAGCTTAAATTTTGGGTTGTTCAGTAAATTAATTAATCGATTCATTTGACAATGATAGGTGTTTGTGGGGATGCAAACTACATACATTTTGTGGGTTTTCCTTGTAGAGGGACGAGTGAGACCTGGACTTGCTGCCTTGTTTATGTTCACTTGTAGAGGAATTCTCGGTTATTCTACTCAACTACCATTGCCTCAGGTATATTTCTTGTCATCAAACACTTCGTTGCACCTATTTTTCTTTAATTTCGACAAACAACCCCCTGAACTATTTTTGTTTAATTACCCATTTAATTTACTAGTGCTAATTTTTATCTCTTGTTCAACAATTCTGATGGTAACTACTCATGTTGGCTGCTTAGTCTTGTGGGTGCGTAAATATATACTACCTCCGTTACAGGTTATGTCAAATCGTTGCACATAACTTGTAACGGAGGTAGTATATGTTAACTGAAGATTGAAACATGTTTTTACTTGTCCCTCAATTATCTGTGCGTTTGCTTTTTACCACAAAGAGTAAAATTAGTGATTATGAATCAAATAATTGAAGGTTGGTATATGGAGACTTGTTGGAGAACAAGGATGGTTGATTTGATGAAGATGAAGTACATCATTGTGGCCTTGTGGGACAACATTATAACATTGAAATTATACGATTATTCTCTAGTAATAACTTTCAAGTTTTGCCATTCGACTTGTCTACGTATGACAGTACTTACTATTAAAAGTACTAGTAGTTACTAATTCCCTCTTTAAAGGCCGCCTTACTAGTTGTAGCATGAACTAACTACTCTATAAAGGCCGCCTTACTAGTTGTTGCATGAAAAACTCCCTCTTTAAAAGCCAACCTTTTTGGTTACAGTAGCATTTATTCGCTACCTTCCTCCTTAAGTGCCCCACCGTTTGGTAGTTTCTCTTGTTAAGTATGTTTCTTTTGTGTGGTAGTAGTACAGTACTATTTATAGAAAGTGATAGTATATTTATGAAATAGCAAACAGAGGATATGGTTCATTGAATATATTTCACAGAATTGTACTTCTTGTTACCTGTATTCATTGTCATAATTGGAAGATGAATGAAATTGCAATAAAGTTCATGTGGTTGCATTTTGCAAACCTCTAATTTTTTAGCTTCTCCCATGTTCCTTCGTGCTCGGTGAGAATTTTTTACCTACCCTAGTTGGCCATATTGGGACCATAGTTTTAGTTTTTTCGTTATGGTTGTTCTATCTTTTTTGGAGGGGGTAGTAGAATATTCAAATAGATCTATATGACCTACAACAGCAAGATGTTAAGCGTCCTGTTGCATTGCCAGCATTATTGGCTTTTGGCTCTTGTGTTTGTTATAGCCATACAACTTTCGTATCCCATACCATAGTCCGGATATTGCTTTCACATTCTTGACCACACGTAGCGATAGATGATTATGCTTAAGATTAAGACTAAATATGATTATGTTATTTTTATCCATGCCAATAATGCATCTTCTTGGCATGAGCTGATCTGGTCAGATGTTCCCACCCTAAAAAATTTAGCTGTTATGACGTGGATTGAACCTTATATTGTTGGCCTTTGTTGTCAGGACTTTGTGGGTTCAGGAGCAGATTTCCCGGTAGGAAATGTGTCTTTCTTTTTGTTCTACTCAGGGCATGTTGCGAGTGCTGTGATTGGATCTTTAGACATGAGGCGCATGCAAAGAAGGGGATTGGCATGGACATTTGATTTTCTTAATATCTTGCAAATAGTTAGACTGCTTGGAACAAGAGGTCACTACACAATTGATCTAGCTGTTGGGGTAGGAGCTGGCATGTTATTCGACACTCTTGCTGGAAAGTACGAGGAGAGCAGGAAAATTTCAGCGGCACCTTCCCCTACTAATGGAGTCTACTCTTCAATAAGGTAGTTTTACAAAGAGTATGAGGTATGGCTGGGCAGAGTAGGTCCAGGCAATGTATGCATAAAAATGTACTAAAGCTAGATGTACATTATTGAGTAATGGCTAATCTCAAAGGGTTCTTTCATAATTTTAACTGCATTTTGTTGAAATATTCTTGTTTTAGCTCACAATATACACATTTACTGTGACTTCAACCATTGCGATTTAAATTTACTAATTTCTTTAGTTCTCTATTCTGAAGTCTTCTGCTGTAAATCTAGCTGAAGAACCGAAAAAGGGCCTTTTTTTTTTTTTTTTTTTTGCATCCAATATGTTAGATCTAACAGAGTTTCAATTCTTTGTTGACTAAGAGGTATACCTGATCACCTGTTTTTGGTGACATTAAATGCTAAGTTTTTCTACTTTTTAACTACTTGTATTAGTCGTGTACGGAGTATTTTTCCCGTTTCACTAAAATTGCAACAACTGCTTAGGCAAGAAGAGAGAGAGGAAGCAAGTGGGTATTAAGAAAGGTTGTGTGATACATCCATGAGTATAGACTATAGACAGATATTTATCACACTGCTCGGTGCATCAAACGGTGTCATTACGATTTTAATTCTAAGAACAATCTTTTACAGTAAATTGGAGTTTCTATATCCAGTTGTAGTAATTTTTTGATATAACAAAAAGATAGGTGGGTTTATCTGCTTTGATATTTACAGTATATGAGATTGTACTCAAAATTATTGATCCTCTGAATCTGATGAATACGGGGGACATGACCCGTCGTCTACGTTGGCAAGTGGGTCAAACAAAGGCGAGCTTGGATCTAGGCATCCCGGTACAAGGTCCAAATTACAGCGATCACCCTTCATAAAATACAGTCATAGCTGATGTTAGAATATGCCTTCTTAAACAGCTTAAACAGAGTTCAAATTTCAATATTTTTAAAGGCTTGGACAAAGATATGTACTGCATCACTTACCCCTTCGGCGGTCAGATTGCCAACAATGGCACATCTTGTGATGACAATGTTTGCGTCTGGAAAGATTGCCTTGTCACAAGCACCCTCTTTGCTCAACTCTTCTGCTAGGCCCTGCATTGTTTCAAGAAACTGATCAGAAATCTAAAGTATCACACTTTGACGAACACAGCAGGTACCAGCCGTACCACCAAGCCAAACACTGACCATAATAAAATCTTTTGGTTTTTTTCTGTTATTGATTGAAATACGTTTTTGTTTTTCTAGCATTAAGGTTTATAGTTTTATACATCACTTTGGTGCTAATGGTGTTAAGCTGTGTGAACTTTGTTTGCTCTGAAACAGGCCGGGAAACTTGTCAGTTTGACCAGATACGATAGCCAGGCCGCTGCACTGACACATCTCAACTGACAGACGATTTCAGTTTTACAGAATTCAGAACTGTCATTTATCCCATTCTGTACAGTTACCTGAACTCATATCTATGTTCTATTAATGTTTACGTATATTCTTTCCAAAGTGGCCTATTATTTAGGGACGAAAGGAGTATGTATGCATGCATGTCCACTAGACTCTGTCTGTATCAGACAGACCTATGTGCTTGAATTTTTTCATGCCCAACAAAGTTTGTCAAGGAGCTTGCTAGTTTCATGGATTTTAGTCTTAAGTGTTAATGTACATTACTGTTAGCGCTTTCCTTATTTCAGCAACTATACATACAGTACTGCATATCTCTCAGTCAACATCTAGTGTATTGTACTCCATAAATAATCTAATATGAATTATACGAATTATAAGTTCGATGTTGTCAATAAGCTCTAGTCCACATTCCTTATCCTAGGTTGTGAGAAATTTAGTTTCTTGACTTTATTATGCAATTTGTTGAACATTTATACTACCTCCGGTTATGTGCAACGATTAGACATTTTCCTTCTCTACTTTATGTCAAATCGTTGCACATAACCTGTAACGGAGGTAGTACATTCAATGATGGCCAAACTGCAGCAAAAAAGATCCTTAAGCTTACCTCATTAAAGAAACTGACTGGTTTGTTTTGCAAACCCTTGGGAATTTGAAACTGCAGTCTGTAAGGACCATCCCACTCGGAACCATTGGTGAAGGAGAAGATCAAGTTCATAGCTGACATTATACATCACATCATTGTAATTAGCAAGAAATATTTAATATCCAAAGGTTACACAAAGACAGGTGAAGTGGTGAGATAAAATACATACCATGCTTAGGAATGCATATTTGAATGGTATAGATCGGAGCATCAGCTTTGCCTCTCGATTTTTTGAGCATCGCTCTAGGCTCACCACCACACATAATTGGCTGATTAAAACCACCTGTTGAATCAGATCAAGCATTAGCGTTATATGCCGGAAAATTATGATTGGAGCTGCACAAAGTTCTGAAAAGGGAAATACATTACCATTAAAGGCTATTCCGAATTCTTCATTAGGCTCAAGTTTGGCAGCAGCTGGATTGTAAAAAATTCTGAGTCTTTCTCCCTATCAGTTTAACAACTGTGTTTGTCAAGTGAATGATCTAATGTAGAATTAAGTAAAACGAGGCGATGAAGATATATATACCGCAGTTGGAGGAAGGCCGTTCATGGTTTTCCAAAACACAGGAGCCATTCCAAGCTCAAATTCAGCCCATTTAGGCAGCACAAACCTACAGAAAGCGAAAATTAAAACAGAGAAAATTCATAATGTCACATATAAACATAATATGCTGTAAAATCAAACGAACTTTGTTTATCAAAGGATTTTGTGTTATGTAATCTCCCAAAATTAATGTGTACTATAGCTAGCTAGAATTGGTGTACATACTCCTTTGTCTCATCTTTAGGACTTGTTGCGACAGCTGCTTCTGTCGCAACAGCTCTAACTTGCCGATCCTTGATGCTAACAACTCTGTTCCGTGTTATAGAACTCTCGCGCATTGGACTACCAATATAATTATTACCTGCATTAAGTAATAAAATCTTCATTTTCGGCATTTGAAGGTATGGAATTTTTTGTCTCATGTTATATTTTGAGCTGCTAACGCTCAAATACTGATTCAGATAAATAATCATGTTCAGAAATTTAGAAATACTTGGGTTATAAATTTATAAAATAGATGGTTACCTAGAAGTAGACTACCGGGGCTTCCATTACTAACCGGAGTAAGCTGTTTTGACACAGCAAAAATCGCGGTAGCTGCTGTTGCTGCCATTGATCAGTCGGTTACTTGGAGTTTCAGCTCGAATTTACTGGCTTTCTTTTGCTTACAAAATTCTGTACAAATTTTAGTTCATCACTTTGATGGGAGATATAAGAGGGTGTTAATAGCAAATAACACATTGATGTGTTGAATTTGGATAAGAGAACAAGAAAGAACCACACAAAATCAGGCAAAAATATCTGCCCAATGACAAACATGCAGACAAAGAAGTCAATGTATGTGTGTAAGTGTAACTGTCAAATTTGAACAATGTAAAAAATCTAACTTAAAATATCTAAACAAGTGTAGAATATCTGGGAAGATAATGGGTGGATTTAATTGATCTTATAATAGTCTAATCTCCATACTAAAAAAAACTTGTAATTCAAACCAAAAACACATGTTCATTTGTAAAAATAAAAAATAAAAAACTTGTGGACTTGTCATATAAAGTAAAACATAAAGTAATAAACATATGTTTCATAGTTCAAATATCAAAACTAAAGATCAAACACAGAATTCGATTGTTATTTGAACAAATGTACCATGACCACTGTGCACCCGAGCACACCAAATAATTTGTAGTGGCCACCAACTTGGCTTCCTACCGGTTCGTCGATACGGTCATACACAAACTTAATGGGTCCATGTTTATTGGGCCTTATGCTTAGATATTAATGGGCCTTAGGCCTGCATATTAATGGGCCTTACTATAATAGGGTACCAATATGATATCCTGCACACGGATCCAAATACAACGGAAGTTTGGAACTATTTTATATCATCCTCATGACCTCATCAATTGCCAGTTTGCCACTAACTTAGACGGAAATAATTCTCATTTCTAAAGTTTGCCACAAAATTAATTAACGTATAAGAAAGTTGGGAATTAGAGCAAATTTTCTCGAATGCAAAGAGTTTTTTCCTTGCAAGTTAGTGCATATTGATGATATCTGAGTAATTGGCTTTCAAATTCGCAGCAAATTTTATTTAGAATGCTGTTTGTCCAACACTAATTAATACTCCGTGAGACATTTAGACATTAATTAATAAATATAATATAGCATTACCCTTTTTAAAAACGTAAACAAACCTTTATAATAAGGAAAAAGATATATGCAGCCCTAAATCTTAAGGGCTGCATATAAGAAGCTAAAAATAGAAAGGAAAGACAATAAATAACCATTTATTACACCGATTTACTCGTGAATTGTCGATAAATTCCCAACTTAATACTAAAAAAGGAAGTATATTAAATGCTTATATGCTTAACATTACCCTTATAATAATTTGTCTTATTTGAAGTTTTATCGTTAAGTTGTTAACCAATCAAATTTAAACTCTTATGTCATCGTAAAATATTATATTTAGATCAAACGTCTAAGATTTGGCAGGAAAGAGTTCACTTTATAGACCTAGCGTTTTCCACCCTCAAATAACTTTGTATATATACACGTTTGTTCTATTTTGGCTAATTGTGTTAACTACTCTGTCCGTGTTTGAATAAATGAAACGTTTTGACTTTCACAGATTTAACAAGGTTAAATTAGTTGAATTTATTAAAATATAGGTTGTGGGCTATGGAGTACATTTTCATTTATTTAAATATGGTTGCAAAAGTAAACGTTTTATTTATTTAATACAGAGTTTATTAAAGCTAATGTGTGACTTGGATGAAGCAACTACTACATTTTATATGAAAGAAAATGCGTGTTTAAATTTTTTTAATAAAAATTATGCTATAAGTTTTTTTGTGAAATGGTAAATAAAATAAGGACTTTTGAATTATTTTAGGTAGACAACAAAGAACACTAGAGTGACTTATCTATTAACTATTACTAAAACAAAAGTTGCTGACATCACCATCTAGGATGCACGGAAACGGATACGAACACGGACACGGACACGATACGGACACGGGAAAACGGCAATCCTAAAATAGGGGACACGGGTACGGCGTATAACAAGGCATATAATATATTAAAAAAACGAGAATTTGACAACTAATTCAATAAAACACTAAATAATTAGCCTCAAAACACACAATTTTAATTAAACAAGTAAATGAACAAAGTGTACGGACATAGTCGGATACATATCAAGAAACCATCAAACCAGACATGTCTTAATAGTACTCTTCAAGTAATCAAACAAAACTAGAAACATAACACAAAATCAAACATCTCATCAAGTAATCAACAAAACTGTCAAAACACGGTGGTTGGCGGTGGTTGTCTGGCTGACGACGAACAACAAATTGAATTATTGAAGCAATTGAATTTCAGAAAATCAGAAGTTCTTACACACTTACACTGATTAAAACCCTAAAAAATTCCCCAAATTAGCATTACTCGAATTCACTTCAGAATCACAACAATTGTTGAATGGCAGAAATTGAGCTCCAGTAAAGATAACAATGGAGCTCAATTGTTGAATGGCAGAACACCAAGAAATAAGCACGAAAAGGCTGAAATTGAGCTCCATTAAAGACAACAATGGCGGAGACTCAGAAAATGAAGACCGATTAAGTTCTCTCCCAGACTCCATTCTCACCGACATTCTCTCACTTCTCGACATCCAAGGATGCATATTCAGAACTTTAATTGAATTTAAAAAAAAAAAGTAGAGAAGAACCATACCTGGTGGCTGACACGGACGACGGGCGACAAGGTGGGCGGTGGAGTGATAGGTGGTGGCTGAGGACGAGCAGGCGAACAGCAAGGGCCAGGCCAGCAACTCCAGCAACCCCCGCAACAATGAGAGATGAAGGCCACGAGCAGCAAGGGCCAGGCCAGCAACCCTGACAACCGGCAAGGAGGCGAGTGGCAGTGACGGAGACAGCAAGCCGGCGGTACGGTGAGACCTACAAGTCGGCGACTGAGCAAGTGAGCAGCAAGGGGTTCAGTTGAGACTTGAGAGGATGAGAGGATTGAGAGTTTGAGAACTGGAAACTTGGAAAGAGGTAGAGAGGCAAAGCATAGGAATTTAGGTATTTCGCGTGTCCATACCAAAACGGCCCGTGTCAGCCCAAGACACGGCCCGTGTCCAAAAATCAAAAACGGTTAAAAAAAATCGGACACGGTTTTCTGCGTGTCGGACACGTGTCGCCCCGTGTCTCATCCGTGTCCGTGTCCGACACGCGTGTCGACTCGGACTCTTCAGATTTTTGGTGTGTCCGTGCATCCTTGATCACCATTGCCCACGTGTCGCTTCCTCAATAAAAAATTTCCCGCCTAAATGCAATGATGATGTCAACTTCTTTTTTTTTGTTTTTTTGTGAGCTATCATATTTAACATTTTTGAAATTTAAATATTTGAAGTTTCTACATTACAACTAAAACCTTTAATTTATCGTAGGAAATTGAAACAATTTTAAATAGCACACTAATAAATGACCTCCTACATTGAACTATAAATTAGACAACGTTGAACATATACTATATCATAATTTTAATTAAAATAAAAAAATTTAAAATTACAAAAATATGTAAATCTCTTCACCAAAAAAAAAATGTAATTCTTATTTATATTCATATATAATAGCGATTTATTTTTAAAGTGTACAAATTAAAAATAGGCTTTATATACGCAAGGGTTTTAACCTGGTTTGTTAATAAAAATAATTATTTGTCCTCTCTTAAACGCTCTTCGTATCCAAATATATTACTTCCTGATTTCATTTTAATGGGTTTTATTTTTATTTTTATTATTGTTAATTTAAAAATATCTATTTCCGTCATTTATTTTTACTATGGACTATTACATAAACAAACAATACCACCTAAAACTAAGAGAAACAACGTGCATATAATTCATCACTTAGGCTAAAAAACTACTCCAAGTCTCCAAGTTTTAATTACAATATGTCAATATGAATGGAAAATATAAGGTTGAAAGAGACGACAAGTGACATACACATTTTACGAAATGTTACGTAATGTAAGTTACGCATGTAATCGTGTATTTCTTACCCCTTAATCTAGCTATCAATCCACGTTAGACAACTTACATTTCTCTATCAAATCTTTTGGCTATTCAAACGAACCTTATAATTGAATTAAAAATAACCTCTCTAAACTCCTTAAAAACCTATATAAATATAAATTCCATCAATACTCTTAAGTCACAATGACAATAACACCCATTTATTTCATAGCTATAATGTCATCAACTTCAAACTCCAAACTAAACCCGTCTCCCATTAGCCTTTCTTCCTCAAATGAGGCAAGAAGTGTAAGGAAAAGATCATCAACGAGTTTGGAACCGGATCTAGAACCGGAATTGAGATTGTATTCTCATAGAATATGGCGGTCTAATGTTGTAGTGAAGAACCCAAGGAATGTGTTTTCGGAATGGAAATGGGAATCCTTATCAGTTGGGACATTAAGCGCAGTTGTATTTATTCATGTGTTAGCTCTTTTTGCACCATTTACATTTAATTGGGGTGCATTTTGGGTGGCTATAGTTCTATCTTTGGTAACCGCGCTATTTGGTATCTGTCTCTCATATCACCGGAATTTGACTCACAAAAGTTTCAAGTTACCCAAATGGCTTGAGTATTTCTTTGCTTATTGCGGGGCCTTAGCACTCCAGGTTCATTACACTCAAAAATAATTGTCACATTGTCGGACTGTGAAGTATGATCAAATTGATAAGTAGAAGTACTTGATAATGTAGAAAAAGGGTTCATGAATAGTTAAATTAAATAGAGAAAAAGGACCACAATATTATGGTGACATTTTTTTTGTCTTCTTATTATTAAAGTTAATTAATATGGTTTGATTTAATTTGATTATTGGATTTTATTTTCAGGGGAGTCCAATTGATTGGGTGAGCACACACAGATTCCACCATCAATTTTGTGATACGGAGCAAGACCCGCATAGTCCTCTTGATGGATTTTGGTTCAGCCACATGAATTGGTTGTTTGATGCTAACGTAATTATTGAAAGGGTAATGTATTACTATAGGAAAATTAGTTTGAAAATGCATAATTATTTCACATTTTTATTAGTAAACAACTAAGAGTAAACTTAGCTAACAATATTTCAATTTATCAGCATTTTGTCAATTATTTAATATGAACAGATTATTGATAGTTATTACGTTCCAATATTGGTACGAAGAAATTTATAAATTTATATAATGATTATTAATTAAGAATTGTATTCACTTAAAAGGTAGTAAAACTTTTAATGAAATGCTGCGATTTCTGCTTTTTGGTTTTTTGTTTTTTAAAAGTATATGATGATTTTTAAAACTTATTAAAATCATGATAATTTTAAAAACGGGGAAATCTCATTTCATCAGGCCGATTTACATGGGATGTAAATCAGGGGTTATGAATGTCATTTTAGTTATTTAATTGGGGGTATTTTTGTATTTTCATCTCTTTCTTCCTCCACTCTCCACTCTCCAATTTCCCATCCACCTTCTTCCTCCAAGCCAGTAAATCTGCACACCAATGATACCACCACTTGTGACGGTTCAAAATGCCACTGTGATGGTAAGGCTTTTCCCTAAGGGGTTGATATGGCCCTAATTTACACGAATTGCTACTAGGGTGTCTTTTTGTAATCACCGCGAAGCGGTGTTGGGGTCATCGTTGCAAAGAGAATCACGGGGTTGTGATGGTGATGGACGCAAAGATGGTGGTGGTTGGGATGGACTGTGATGGTGATGGTGATTGAGAAGAAGATGGTGGTGGTGGTTATTCCGTTACTTGCCCCGTCACTAGTGGGAATTTTTCATTTGTTAAAAAAACCCATATAAATGAATATAATATTAATTGCAAGTACGGTGTATGGCCTACACCAGCGGCTGATTGACAAAATTTTGCCTATGCCTCTTTAAAAACTGACAACAAAAAAGTAGAAACACCTTTTTCTTGTTTCCTGTTTTTGGTTTTAAAAAAAAAGAAACTGAAAACCAAAAATGATGCCAAACAAACCCTTAGTTGTTCTTGACGTATGAAGCTAAGTTTCATCTCGATGCATAGAGTTGTATACGTGACTAATTGTTTCGTGTTTTATACATAGTAATTACTAAGCCAGAACCTCTCTTTGTTGTGAAACGAGTATGTTTTAGATTTTTAATATCAAGATAATTTGTTCATTTTGCAGTGTGGTGAGCCAAACAATGTAGGAGACCTAGAGAAGCAAGCATTCTACAGATTCATGAAAAGAACATACATTTTGCACCCAATAATTTTTGGAGGATTACTCTATGCTTTTGGAGGATTTCCCTACGTTGTTTGGGGAATGGTAATTAAGCATTCACACTTATATACTACGTATTATGTTGTGCAAATTAAAGTTTTTCTTGTCAGATAATCTTAGCTTAAAAGTTATGTATATGGAGTAGCCGCCATTTCTTTACTTAGTATGTGGCACATGATTGAAATGCGTAGCTTAATATGCATGGTTTAGGTCATTAGGTGTGTGATAAGTAATTAATTACATAATTTCAAATGATTGAAGACTTCGAGTTTAATTTTGACTTAGTCCATAATTAATATGAGTACGCCACATTTAATTAGGCTTCATCTTTAGAAAATTAAGTAACGTTGATAAATATCTTGTGTTTCAATCATATCATCATTATATATATGTTATATCATATTGCAATTATATATATGTTCATCTTTATAAAATTAAGTAACGTTTTAATAAATACTTTGTGTTTTAATCATATCGCAATTATATGTATGTTTATAAATACCTTACGTTTCAATCATATCATTATATGTATGTTATATGCTATCATATATATCGCATTTTATTAGGGTTCATCTTTAGAAAATTAAGTAACATTGATAAATACCTTGCGTTTCAATCATATCATTATAGCTAAATTAAAATTGTATGTTTCAATCATATTTTAATACAGGGAGTAAGGACTACATGGGTATATCACATTACATGGTTTGTGAACTCTGCTAGTCATATATGGGGAGAACAAGCTTGGGATACCGGTGATCTTTCAAAAAATAATTGGTAATACATTCGACTACTTTTAACGATTTCGTAATTATTATGCATTTCTATCATTTTATGTCTTAGAATGCATATAATTTGCTTTTACTAATTAATATTGTGTTTATAAAATAAAAAAAAAATGATATTTCATTAGGTGGGTAGCATTGCTTACATTCGGAGAAGGTTGGCACAACAATCATCATGCATTTAAATACTCGGCAAGGCATGGCTTTGAATGGTGGCAAATTGATGTGACTTGGTATGTCATAAGGCTTCTTGAAGTTGTTGGTTTGGCCAATGATATTAAGCTTCCTAGTGAGGCTCATAAACAACGCTTGGCATTTAAAAGTGAGGAAATAGCATCTTGAGTCTTAAAACAACCATGCATAAACATGTCTTGCTTATGATGGGATGCAATTTCTTAAAAGGTTTACTATTCGGGTTCGGTCAAATTTATTTGTCACATTGATAGCAGTTTCAATATCACTATTGTAAAACACGACAAATAATTCCAGATAGAGGGTGGATAATGTAAATCACATAGTTCATGCTACGATTCTTTCTAATTAATATATATACTATGTAGTACATACATCTTATGTGATTTATAAACTCAAGTACATAGCAAATTTCCATTATAATATTCGGATTATGTCATTGGCCGTGCCGAGGTGGGGCTCGTGCTGTGCCGGCTTGGCGGCGGGCCATGCCTTGGCACGGCACGGCACGACCCACATGCCTAATATATATATATATATATATATATATATATATATATATATATATATATATATATATATATATATATATATATATATATATATATATATGCTGGCTGGCCATGCCGGCTGGCTGACGATCGTGTCGTGCCAATTTTCAATATTTGTGTTCACGGCACAGCCCACAAGTGGGCCGCCGTGCCAGTGGCTGGAGCCGCTTGCGTGCCGGCACAGCCGCGCCCATCTTTAAATACAACTCAATTTTATCGGGTCTATATCGAAAAAGACAAACGTCTAGCTAGTATTGTTTTCATAACATTACAATACGTATTTTCAAACAAATTAATAAAAACATGTCACATATAATGCGGGGATAAGAACTTAAATTTGTTCTTTATAACTTATACTATAAAAACAGCTTAAAATCGTTCGTTACTCTAGCAAGAGATTGTAGATAGTATGAAAGTTTATGTATGAGTGTATGACTAGGAAACACTAAACTTGTAAAATTTTGGATAAGAGAACATGAAGAAAGAACCACACAAAATCAGCAAAAGATATCACTTTTCCAAAACTCCAATGACAAACATGTAGCCACATTAAAGATGTTGCTAATGTGTGAACTGCTAACAACGTAAAAGCTACGCCTCAAAATATCCAAAAACAAGTGTGGATTTTATTATTATAAGATATTAAGATTTACTGATTTAGTAAAGGTATAACTAAGAAAGTAGTGATATGCAAAGACACCCTCCCTATATCCAACTGATTTCCACCTTAAATTTAAGCATAAATTATATTACTCGAACTCTTTATCTTATGTTAAATACTCGTGTTGGATCCTCCGCTACAAAAAAGAGCTTTTAACGATTGATTTTACCAATATTGGTATTTAGCTATGTTTCTTAAGATGTTGCTAATTAGCATCTGGACTCTTTATTGGATCAAAATCGTGAAGTTTTTTCATATATGCATGGGATAGAGTCAAGTCAGACACTTAAACATATACTCATATCGTACATGAATACCTGTGTTTGAACAACTTAAGTTTATTACTGCAAGTCACCACACATGCATCATCCACGCAAGTACAAATCTAAAATTCATATTCATCCATACACAAACAAATCCAAGTGAATATCCACTATACGAATCTAGCCACCCCACCAACCAATTAAATTAAAGATCCACTACCCATAAGTCCATAACCTATCCACCAAATTGAATTAATTTGGGACCTTATTAAATTGGGAATTTTTGAATTAAATCCTTAATTAATTCAAATTCATTGTCTATCCATTATTTATGTAAAAAAAAATAGGCAAAAGTTATAGCAAGCACTGGATGTATAGTAAATTTAATGTACATTTGGTTATTGTATACCAAAAGTTACTCATATTATCACAAAAGATATTTTATTGCCATAAAAATTACCCTTATTACCTAGTTACTTTTATTACTCCTAAACTATCAACAGTTATTCATATTATCAGTTACTTTTATTATCACAAAATTACTCTTAGGGCATGTTCACTTCAACTTAATTTTAGTTCAGTTCAATTCAACTCCAATCAATTCAGTTCAGCTCCTAATTTCCTTCTCTCATAAAATATTTATTTCAGCTCAATTTAGTTCAGTTCAGTTCAGTTCAGATCAGCTTCAATCAAGTCAGTTCAGCTCAATTCGGTAAATATAAACAGTCCCTTAAACTATCAAAAATTACCCATAAACCATAGCATCACAAACTTTACCTATATAGCTTTCATTTCAGTAAATTATTGTATACCTAATTTTGTAAAACATTTATGAAAATAAAATAAGATACGTAATAATTACATTGATTAATATGGGACATAGAAATTGAATTCTATAAGCATGAGATGGTTATAAACTCTAGTCAAAAACAAAATATAATCCTTATCAATCCACGCCACTTGAGCTTTCACTCTCAAAAACTCCAACCACGAAAACGTTACCACAACCTCAATTCCCAATCAATAAAAAAAATAAAATAAAAATAAAAATCGCGCTATTTGGCCTTAAACCCTCATAAAACCCAACATAACCACAAACTCACAAGAACACCCTTTTCATGGCTCTCATTGCATCAACCCCTAACTCCAAACTAATCAACCAATCTTCCATTTACCTCAACAAACCACAAACTAGTACAACTCTACGTTACAACTTTAACCTAACAATTTCGAAAACTAACCTTTTTAAGCGTTTAACATTAACAACTCATACACCAATTTGCCAATATGGAGAGTCATCACCAAATAATGAGGCAACAAGAAGTGAAAGAACAACGAGGGTATCGGCCATTTCGACACCGGGGTTGGAGTCGTATTCCCATAGGATTTGGTGGTCGGACGTTGTCGTGAAGAGTCCGACGAATGTACTTGTTGATGGAAAATGGGATTCTATATCAGTTGGGAATTTAGGTGCGGTTGTTATGATGCATGGGTTAGCTCTTTTTGCACCATTTACGTTTAATTGGGGTGCATTTTGGGTTGCTGTGGTTCTCTATTTGGCTACGGGATTGTTGGGTATTTGTCTTTCGTTTCACCGGAATTTGGCTCATAAGAGCTTCAAGCTACCTAAATGGCTCGAGTACGTCTTTGCTTATTTCGGAGTATTAGCCCTTCAGGTTCGTTATGTTGTTACAGTAACAAAATTAGTTGTCACATTGTTACACAGTCTTTGAAAAATGACAAGTGTAGCTAGGATCAATCAATTTAGTATTACCTCTGGTAGACTTTCACAAGTCTCACTTGTCAGTTTCAATATATAACGTACGTGATTGATGAAATTTAGGAAAGAGTAACTTGCGACGTTAAAACTAGCTTGGTTGTTTTATTCTAGTACATAGTGATATTGGCATGGTTTGCTTTAATTTGATTATTGATATTTTTTTTTTTTCAGGGAAATCCAATTGATTGGGTGAGCACACACCGGTACCACCATCAATTTTGTGATTCGGAGCAAGATCCACATAGCCCACTTGAAGGATTTTGGTTCAGCCACATGAATTGGATGTTTGATGCCAAAATTGTTACCGAAAGGGTAATATATATTCTACTATACAAATTTTTAGTGATGTGGCCAGCTATAATGGGGTAATTGGCTAGTGTTATAGTGGTTAGTGAATTAGTTTGGAAGTGCATGTGATATACGTATATTTATGACTATTTTTATTTTAGATGTGTACTACCTCCGTTAATGATTATCTATAACTTTGGAATTTTTTATATCTTATAAATAAAACCTTAAAGTTGCAAATAATCGTTATCAGAGATAGTAGATAAATAAATAATAAATAAAAAATAAAAAGGCTAAAGTTCTTTTCAATGTATATATATGTTACAACTTATGACTTGTATTGTCGCATTAATTGGTTAATTAATTAGTTGTTTAGTACTACTTACTTCATGTGTAACAATTAACAGAATTTCTCTTAATTGTATGTTATTAAGATGACTAAAACTACAATTTAATATCAAGATTAATTTTCATTATTTTGCAGTGTGGTGAGCCGAACAATGTAGGAGATTTGGAGAAGCAGCCATTTTACAGATTTATGAGGAGCACATACATTTTTCACCCACTAATGTTGGCAGGATTACTTTATGCATTTGGGGGATTTCCCTACCTCGTTTGGGGAATGGTAAGCACATATTATGCGCAACTTTTCTTCTCTTCAATCAATTTTCAATCACAAATGATAATGCAAAGGTGGCCTCCCTTAGACCTTAGCTTATTAGTGGTAAGTACAAGTTGTTTTGGCACATGACTTTCATGGTTTAATCGCCTCAAGTGGTTGGTGACATGGTGCACGTAAAATCATAAATCACCGAGTGTACAAAAAAGGCTTTTGTTAGATTCAATAACGATTTAATTAACTTTAATGAGTTAAATGTTAATTTTACGAGACTATGAGGACACAAAAGTATATCTAATCATCATGATAGAGTATATAATATATTCCTGTACCTCAACCATCAGCTTAAGTTTTAAGTTGAATTGGTCCTTTAACATGGTATCAGAACCAACATGATATAAAAGTCACGGGTTCGAATCTCATCCACCCCTCCTTCAAAGTGGAATTAATTCGCGTCAGATACGAATGAGCCTGTATTGCATCCACATTTCTAGCCCAAAGGGCCTTTCATGTGAGGGGAAATGATAAAGTATATATAACATATTCCTGGCTTCAACCATCGTGCAGGGAGTAAGGACCGCATGGGTTTATCACATAACATGGTTCGTGAATTCTGCTAGTCATGTGTGGGGAACTCAAGCTTGGAATACTGGCGATTTATCAAGAAATAATTGGTAATTATTTAATTTAGTTACTACAATATTGCAGTTTATGAATTTATTATACATCTATATTGAGCATCATCTATCACTAGCTTTCATTAATTGAAAATTTGACCTATAATGTGAATTTTCAGGTGGGTGGCATTACTTTCATTTGGAGAAGGTTGGCACAACAATCATCATGCTTTTGAATACTCAGCTAGGCATGGTTTAGAATGGTGGCAATTTGATATGACTTGGTATACCATCAAATTTCTTCAAATTATTGGTTTAGCCAAGGATGTGAAGTTACCTACTGAGGTGCACAAACAACGTTTGGCATTTGAAAATGATGGAATATAAACTTGAGGGAAACAAAGAACACATTTTGACAATTGGATGTATTAATTTTGATATCATAATCACGTATTTTTTGTGTAATTTGTTATAGAGAGATTAAAATTGACCACAAAATTTTGATCATAATCTCCTTGATTTTATGGTAAGCTATATATGTAGTATGTATCTTATTTATACGATTTTATAGTAAGAAAAAATCTTTATAAAAATATTATTTATTTATATATATACGTTATACATAGTATATGAAATCGAAGATAAATCCAAACAACTAAATCCATAAACCCCACACAATCATATTAACTAGTTGTACCATCTTCAAATAATCAAATTTGTGAGTCTAAGCAAAATACACATAATTTCGTTTTACATTTGGTATTAGTTTGTGATGGAGCTTACACACCGTAACGTAATCTAACGGTTTGTTCCCGTTTAAATTTGAACGGAGGCAAAGAAACTTAGATATTTCCTCAACATGAAATATCTATTTAATCTTTAAATATCTATTACGAATTAGGGCATGTTCTTATAAACTAAACTGAAAATAAACATATGAGAACAGACCCTTAGTAAAACAAGAATTATTTTGTGTGACAGTGTGTCAAAACTAAATGTGGATACGGCTAGCTGAGTAATAAACGGGCCATTAATTAAATTCAAAAATCTAAGACACGGAACATAGAATTTGAAACAAAGAGTCTATAATCTACGAGTTATACATATAAATCAAAACTAATACGAGTATGAAGTATCCAAAATCTAAGAGTTCAAATTGAAAATATGAGACCCAAAGCCCAAAACCTGAGATTCGAAACCCAAAGTTTGAAACTTGAAGCCCAAAATTTGAGACCCTAAGCTTAAAATATGCGAATTGATTGAAATTCAAAATTTGACGCCAATACCCTATACCCCTCCGTTTCTTTTTAATTTATGCTGCATATTTCTCCTTTTTTTTGCGGAATTGAAATTATATTTATTGTGCTTAAATTACTTTTGTTGAAGTGAAATTTTTTTAATTAAACTTTAATTATTTTTACTGATTTTCTATTATACTTCCTCATTAAAGTTATTGATTTTTACTTAATTGAAATTATTTTTACTGAACTGAAATTATTTTAAATAAATTGAACTTATTTATACTGAACTAAAATTATTTTTTACTGGATACTCCCTCCGTCCCTTATTTACTACATGCCTATTTCTAACAATTATTACTCACATAATAAAGAGAAATAGACATATAAATAAGGGACGGAAGGTGTATTATTTTGTAAGGTGAAGAAAATAAGGTTTTACTATACATTTTTAACATTAAATTGACAAATTAAGGATCGAAAAATGGATTGTTAGGCTATTCGATTATAATAAATATGACAACCCTTTCCACCTTTAACCTTTTTTTTTTTGGATATTCCCACCTGGTTCACTCTTTAGGCTAATTCGTATTTGGGGTTCAGTTTTAGATGGTTAGTTTTTAATCCCCTTCCATTTATTATTGCAGGATCGAACACACAGTTCTTCTTATTAAATGCAGACCTAATTACCACTGTAACAACAATGAATTGGTACCTTAACTTTATTAATATATGAAATGCTAATCTTCAAAACTTTATCGTCAATAATAAACTTTTTTTTTAATACAGTACAAATTTGAATAAGGCCACCTTACTCTTGGTGGTTATCCATATTCCATCCATTGTCTTAATGAGGCTACTAGCTTTCCTAAATGCATGTGATTGAACCGACTCAATCACTCACCTATTCAAAATTTCAAATTGATGGAACAAGTACTTCAAGCAATTGAATGAAATTTATCTACTTCATCTATATATATTATGTTTAAGTGAAGGCTAAATTTAAGGTTAATTTTGCACACATTTGTAGTACATACATAGATTGATTGTTGGTTGTTACCGACTAAGATTGAGACTTGAATATAATAAAGTAAAAGTTACAAACTATTTACCAAATAAAACTTCCAAATTTATGCCATGTTTTAAGGATTATAAAGATGGGCTAGTAATATTCCTATTATTTACTACCCTACTAAGTGGAAGAGGTAATCATGCTCTCTCGAGCAATGAGTCCTCACGATCACTAATCAGCAATTAGACTAATCTAATTGATCAATTAATTTCTCACAAACAACAATTAAACCTACAAAAAAAATTATATATAATTTTATTTTTTTTTTTAAAAAAAAAAAAAAAAAACATAAACAATACTAATAATCGTGCATTATTAAAAAAAAAATTTAATAATAATAAAATTAGAAACCTATATGGGTTTTACTGCAAGATTTAGAAAATCAAGGTCCAAATAATAAGTCATCAAAAGTTAGTGGAAATAATGCCTACAGTACATAGGAAAGAAGGGGTTGAAAAAGAATGATTATGAAGTCTATGCTGTAATTAACTAAAATTAAGCTTGTTTATTCATGGATATTAACGCCTTAAAAGTGCTTTGCTTTACACTAAACATTCCCCATTTATTTTCCCAATAATTAGCTGACTTCATCTATTGCATGCTTGAATTTTTCTCCAATCCCTTTTTTCCCCTATCTAAATGAGTCAAAAAAAAAAAAAGGGCAAATTACTAATGGAGGAGAGAGATTTGAACCTGGCCTATAACAACTTTAGAAATGTTTCAATCTTTGTCACTAGGTCAAAACCTCACAATCAATTTGATAACCAATTATAAACAATAGTAATGAGAGTTAATTTGTATGTACATTTAGAAAGAAAAACACTCAAGATGATTCCTATATATTGTCTATTTTGACTTCAAAATTTTCATTCCCAGTTAATACCACTTTGATCTCAAGTAGTAATAATGGATCGGATGGTAATGAAAAACATGAAGAAAACACAAGCTTGGGGATGAGATTGGTTTTGTTTGTGATACGATATCCACATATTGTAAGTATCTAATAAACGAAAGAGAAAATATACAGTTGTGATATTTGCGTCCTGAGTGAGATTATTTCACGGTAACTAACCAATAGTGACATTAGAAAAAACTCAAATTAGTAGGCCAAAGAATCTTATTTGATTTTAAAAACCATGTATTGAGATAAACATTACACTAAATGACTAAATCATACCAAATCAAGTTCAATAAAATTAATAAAATAATTAGTAGAAATAGTAAGCACACAATTGTGGAGTAAAAATGAAGACTTTTTGTAACGTCAATACAAAGCATGCTTTTCAAATAAAGCACAATCTAGGAGTAAGTAAACAAATGAACATGCTTCCTTTTTAACTTGTGTACAAAATAAACCTACACCCATCATTTTTTACACTAGGGTTTTGTGCATGCTCTTCAACAATTTGCTCCGACAACCGGCCATATCATATGAAATTGCACTATATAATAATTATCAATCCATCTCTCTTTCATAAACTTAATTATTTTATCATATGATTGCTTAATTAATTACATGCTGATGCTCCCTTTTTAATTTGCTTGCTGAAGATAACATAACTGTTGTTTTTCATCATTGTATCATTACTGGATGGTGTATCATATTGTTGTTTTACATTAGGATTATTATTATTAATCAACAAGTTGATGTTTTCTGAATATCCAACATCATTCATTATATATAATTATGGTGGTGGTGTTTAATTTTATTTTGAAACTTATTCTGCAATATATAAGTTGATCGAATTTTACTCTACCACACGACAATACAACTACTGCTAAGATTAAATTAAATTTCAACTAGTGTGAACTTCAAACTGTTGATGAGCATGAGCTGGATATGACCCTTACTTGATAAAACTTTGTAGCACTCTGAGTTTTCAACCACGTTAGTAGGTATACCGAGTAATAGAAGTAACAACGTTCATAGTTTTAATATAAAAACGGTATTCTATTGTATCCTAAAAATTGAGTTTTGAAGTGTTCAACGTACTTGAACTTATATCCGGAGTACATTACATCATTATCATTATTTTGTTGCCGCTATTTTCATTCCTTTTTGTTATATGTGATTCTAAGCTATTTAACTATGTATGTTTGTTCTCTATGGATTTCAAAAATAATTATTACGTATTAAGAAAATTCAAATTTTTTCTTTAGTATATATATTGTCAATTAATTTTTTTTTTTATAAAAGTGAATATATATATTAAAAAAAAAAAAATAAATAAATTAAATTTTATAGTATGCATCATATCCAAATAGTCCTAATTATATAAGGTTCTTGTCAAAAAGTCCAATGCCCATTTGTTGTGAGCCGCATAAATATATTCTCCAATATTTCCTAATTTAAGCCTTTGAGGTAATGTCAATCACCCCAAAACATGCATATTTAATGATTGACACCTGGAATTTAGCTCCCATCACTAACTTCGATCAAGTCCCCCACAACACCGTCAAAATTTTAAAATTCAATTCTTTAAGGGTCTGTTTAACTGAACTGCACTGAATATTTTATAAGGGAAGGAAATTAAGAATTGAACTGAACTGAACTTATTGGAGCTGAATTGAACTAAACTAAACTAAAACGAAAATAAGCTAAAGAGATCAGGCCCTAAGTTTAATTTAAACTATGCTGATTTTAGAGGAAAGAATTTGTAAATAATGCACAATTAGTCCTATAAATTTTTAAAAATGGAATACCTTGTTCTTGTATAGCTTGGTACTGAGTATATGGAAAAAAATAAATAAAAAATCCTCTTCATGAAAAAATGAATCAAAAATAAATATGGAATTAGTACTCCACTAGTATAGTAGTATGTACTGTAGTGTTTATTATTTACTTATTCTAGGTTTATCTTGTTATAATATTTTGAATTCGTTTTTTCGTATTCTAATCATCTAATTGGTCATACGATTACTCAACAAGAACCCTAACTAATTAGATTAGTGAGTTAATTGCCACCCTTTTTGGTTAGAAAAAGACAAGAAGAAAAAGACACACGTCAATTCCAAAAATCCTGAACGATAAGTACAGAATTGTCAAGTAAAGGTAGACAACTTATAAACCATGACAGTCTGACTATCAACGAATGAAGCCTACTATTTCGGGGGATCAATAAAACTAATGCTAGGAATTGATTTAAAAAATTACTATATTATACTTTCTCGTTTCTATTACGGAGTAATGTTCTACGGAATAATAAGGATGAAATTACGCATTTCAAGTCACATTTTAAATGTTAAATATGTATAATTGTATAATAATAAAAATTATAAAAAGTTGATATTGTGAAAGAATATTATGAGACGATTCAAACAGACGAATTATATTATATGGTCAAACAATAGTGATAAATAGTATTCCATTATTGCAATATTAATAGAACGGAGGAAGTAGTATAGCAGTTGCTTTGTACTCCCTTTGTTTTGCAATAATTTGACTTTTGTGTGACTCAAATACTTACTATAAGTATATTTTTTTTTATCAATACTCATATATAATAAATATATATTTTTTGTATTATTCTGTACAATATTTTAAAACTAGCTAGTTTTTATGTATATTTTCATTAGATTAATCTTTTATGCGTCTAAATAATTATATAATTACAATTACTAATGGTCAAATTCACGTATTAGCTTATGCAGATTAAAGTGTTGCAATTATTATGAGACAAAGGTACGGGCCTGTTCTCATACGTTGAAATTCAGTTCAGTTTAGTTCAGCTCAGCTCCTAATTTCCTTCTCTTATAAAATATTCAGTTCATATCAGTTCAGTTTAGTTCAGCTGAGTTTGGTCAATGAGAACAGGCCCGTAGTAATATTTTGTTAAAACTAGTGTACTCTAAACAATTATATTTGACTCCTACAATGGTCCATGCATGATTTTCATTAACATTTCATCCCAATTTAATTGCCACGAATTTCTTTAAATTATTTCAAATTAATTGCAACAAAATTCTTTATGAGTTGTTTTGATTGGTTAATTGCAATCATTTTGACAAATAATTTCTTTCAAATTTTTATCTTGAGGTGAAACTCACTCATCCACTCTCAATCTATTTTTCATAATTCAATATCACTACACAAAATTTTATTCCAAAATGATTTATGATAGCTAAAATTATATCATAATGAGTAAGGTCATATTCTTTAGAGCTTCTCTGCTCTATCCAAAAGCTCAAAAGAATGCATGGAACCTCAGTAATAAATTTGATACTTGGCCTATTCCGTATAATAATATTATACAAAATGAAAAATACATTGATTAATCCAACAACATTTTACCTAAGGTATGTCGTATTTTATGATAACAATATAATTATTTGATCAAAATTTAACCAATAATATTATGTGCCCCATCCAATTTGACTTATACGTTTGTCAACACAAAACTTTAATCATTACTCCCTCATTCTTATTAGAAACCTATTTCTAATATTTATTATTAATATCTTTAATAAACAATAAATTTAGTTACAAAAAAATAAATACTCAATAACTATAACTATACATTCAAAAGATTCTAACAATTACAATTACCACAATATTTGATTCTACATAAACATTACTCCTTCAATTCCAAAATATTTGATATGTTTGACTTTTTTCACTATTTATATATTAGCTAGGTACTAATATAAAAGTTCATAATACTACCTCCGTTATAAGTTATGTGCAACGATTAGACATTTTCCCTCTCTACTTTATGTCAAATCGTTGCACATAACCTGTAACGGAGGTAGTATTATTTTTAAAAATAATTTTTATTATTATAATATTTAATTATATAAAAATAAAGTCAAATTAGTACATTAACAAATGTACAAAGTTGACCGTGTAAGATATTATGAGACCAGAGAGTGATACAGAAATTAATGTACGTGGTACACTTATCAAAACACGAAGAGAGTGCTGAAGTGATATAGGGCTATAGGCTATAACTCTATAAGCAATAAAAAGAAGGAAGTGAAAAGGAAGAATAGATTAGTGAAAAGACAGTAAATAAAGAAAAAGATAGAAGGCGTTGAGAAGAGAGGGGAGATAGGGCGCGCAGGTGCAGGGGTTGGTGCAGAAATGGGTTGCTACTTGTCATTACAATTCACTCGCACTTGGAAAACTCGCGTGCTGTCTAATTTATGTATTAAGTGCGGCGTTTTTCTTGTAACGTTTGGAGGCAATCAACAATCTGGGTGGTTTATGCACAAACACAATACACTTCTCTTACAACTTATTAAAAGTAGTTTTATGGTGTTTGGTTGATACCCCACATTTACCTCGATCTTTGCTCTTTTTGCCTCACGCTTCTTACTTCTCATTCTTTTTACCTTTCTTTCCTTTTTCTACCTTTCACATTTATGCAACACGGCCAACACCCCCTTCACCCCTAAGGTTATAGCCATTTCCTTTGGTTTACACCTTTTTTTTTTTTTTTTTTTTTTTTTTTTTTTTTTTTTTTTTAATTTTAGTACTTCTTGTTTTACTCATTTTGGAGTATTTGGACCATGTTTGATTGTTTGGAACGGAGTACTCTACGTATCGTAGAGTTTTGTGTTGTGTATACTTGGGGTATGTTCTGATTTAGTGAATTGAGTTGAAGTAAACTAATTGGAGCTGCACTGAACTAAATTCTTTATGAGAGAAGAAAATTAGAAACTAAACTGATTACAGTTGAATTGAAAATAAGTTGAAGAGAGCAGACTTTGGTATATAATAATATTTTTACATATATTTGTTTTAATTATTATATTACTCTGTAACATTTTTTACAAGGATCATTAAGACATTTCAAAGGTTAAACATACTGTATTACCTAGGCATGTTTTGCAATATATAATATGATGATTTGTAACACTACATATGCAGAGTAATTGAAGATTTACTCTTCACTTTTTCATAAATTTGCCGGACGCATATATAGTCTAATTAAGGGTAGATTATAATGTTAATTACTTTGATTTTGAGTTGGAAATTTTTTCATTTTCTTACTTGTCAATGCATAATTTCAAACACCATACATTTGCCTCAACTACACGAAGTAAAAGATTATCTTTATATATAAAAAAGGATATTAAGAAAGCACACTTTGAGATGTTCAACAAGATTTCACATATATAAGGTTTCTTTTTTCTCCTCTTTCATTAGTTATGTATATTAAAAAAAATAAAAATTATCATAGATAGTCATCAAAGCATAATATATGAATAGTATAGTCTCAAAACATTGAAATTAAAATTGGGCAATTTCAAATTGCTCTCCTTGAGAAACAAGAACCGTTTCTCATGAAGGTAAATTTGAAATTTGTCCATGAACAGGAAGGGTATGGGCGACTTTCTGCAAATTTTCTCTATTTGGTAGATAACAGGCGTTACCTCTACAATTTGAAAATAAATGTTTCATTTCATTAGAAAAAATAGTTATGGAAAGATAGGCTATTTTTAAGTATAAAAACTATTCAAAATTAATGTAAACCATCAATTTCAATCCAAAATCTTTTACCCTTGGTTGCACCTACACAAGAGGATGGTTAACTCAATAATCCACTCAAACAAACAATAATGAAAAAAAAGGGAATAATGAAAAGTTAATTAATGTAAAATAATTAAGGACCATCCCTCATTCACAAAAACATGGTCCACCCTATAAATAACACCTTCACTCTCCTCGCTCTTCCCGCTTCCATTCCATTCCATAATATCACACTTCTCTCAAAACCACACCCACTTACACTTAAACACATACAACCTTAAAAAGGCTCCAGAATTTAATCAAATCCATCCCCCAAAAATTCACACAATTATTTAACTTTTGTAATTTTATCATATATCCAAGTTTAATTTAATTAGCTTGTTATTCATCTTTCAAAACGGGTCTTCCGTTGTGGATGCTTGGCTTGGCCGCTGAACAGCTGCGCGCCGATATGAATCGCTTACTTTCCCTTCTTTTCCACCAAGTACGCCCTACATACTTTCTCCGTTTCTTTTTAATCCATCCATCTACACACAACACACTTTCCTTTTAAGTCCGTCATCAATTTTTGTCATACATATTTACGTACCACGTACAAAATTGGTACGTATGTACATATATTGCCGTTATAATATAATGTTTAATTTTACGTTTGTTTATATGTTTAGGGGGTGTTGGATGAACAATTCTTACAATTGCAACAACTACAAGATGAAAGCTCTCCAAATTTTGTTTCTGAAGTTGTCAATATTTACTTCCATGAATCTGAAAAACTTCTCCGAAATCTCAGAACTTTTCTGTAATTTTCTCTCCTTTTTTCTCTTTATATTATTAATTTAAATTGAAGAAATGTGTAATTACTAATTAGTAGTACATTTATTGTTTGGTTATTAAATGCACATACACCGACTGAATAAAAGCTAAGTTTAAGTCTACTACTATACTGTGAGAAATGAAAAATCTAATGATTTCACTAGCTAGTTTTAATAGTATCATAATATACAGTATTTTGACTGTATTTTGTAGGGTTATATTACAGTATAAGAATCAGTATGTATAATTTACTACTCCATAAGAATGAATGTTTATTAGAATTAGTAATTAAGGTAATTTTATTTTATGTTTTGATTTATATATATATATATTTAATAATAATAGTGATATTTGGGGTATTTCTAAAAGAGATGAATGAATAAAGCTATAAACCACATTTCGTGATTAGGTTGATGAATTTGTGCACACAAGCTAAACATTTTAATTAGATAATATAATTAATTAGTATCGTGTGTTTACATTAATTAACTAGATAATTCAGAAATCGGACAACATGCTTACGTTGAACATTTAGTTTTTTTTTTGTTTTTGACATGATCTTAATTAACGGAATAAAGGGTTACAAACTACATACGTTTTGTCTACTTGTAACAATAGTATGCATTATTGATTTATAATTTGCTAATTTCAAAAAAAAATAAATAAATAAAATTATTCTCTTACAATTGAGCTACCCGATATTGTTCATTATAAGCTAATGATATTTTATTTCTTTTTTGAATGAAATACATATTTTTTTTTTATTTTTTTTACATTGGACCTTCTATTATTGTTCATTATTAGCTAATGATTTTTTTGTTATTCTTTTTTGCATGAAATACGAAATTAAAAAAAGAATGGATAGAGAATTTTCAGATTACAAAAAAATAGGAATGCATTTGAATCAGTTTATGGGAAGCAGTTCAAGCATAGGTGCTAAAAGAGTTAGAAATGTATGCGTTGCCTTTCGTGCTGCTTCCGAACAAAATAACCGTGCTGGGTAATTTCTAATTCTCTCTCTCTCTCTTCCTTTTTACGAATGCCTTTAATTCATTTTCACCTTTTCATAATAGCATAGTAATAAAAAGATTAAAGTTATAAAATGTCATTATACTAGTAGAATTGTTTAGTACTTTAATTATTTAATTAATGATTGATGCATACTCTAATTATATTAATTAATGTGTTAATCTCTAGATGTTTAAGAGCATTGGAGGTATTGGAGCACGAGTACAGCTATCTCAAGAATAAACTGCATGAACTCTTTCAAGTATGTTGTACTACTACTTCATTATTTCTCTTGCTTCTATAATTTTATTGTCGATAAAAAAATTACGAGGAAATTGGAGTTTTAACCTCATTATTGAAGGGTTTTTTGCATCGAATAAAACCGATTATTGAAATTAGTTTGTGTATGTACTTTTTTTATTATTAAGGATGATTCATGCTTGTTTATCACATATTACTTCTCTAGAGAATATCTTTTAATATGAATAAAGCGGTGAAATATTTGTATTTGAATTATAAAATTCAGTAATTCACCCTCCTTCTAGAATCTCGATCTATATACTATATATTTCAAACAATACCTTAACAACCGTCCTCTATTCGACCGCTAAAAGCTATCCACAGTATCACTAACTTTGCCAAACAGGACCTAAGCAGTAGACGTGTTGTATCTTTAAAAAAAATGTTAACATGTAGTATAATCTTTTATAGAATTTTAAGGATTACTATTTTAGGAATTGAGAACTTCAATTCTTATCCAAAATGTTATGCATGCAATGTGAAGAAGCTTTTTTTTAAAAATAAATAAATAAAAAAATAAAATAAAATAAAAAAATTTTAACCTATGAAAAGATTAAGTATACCTAATTAATTTAGTGGTAGGTTAAAATTTATGAGGAGTTTAATGTATGGATACTATAAAGTCTATTACGTTCTATTATGTAATAGGTTGAAATAAATTACAACTAGTTCTATTCAGTTCAAATTAAACACGTCATTTGAATTATTGAAATAATATTAATATATTTTAACTAGATCAGTCGTAAATTTAACTTATGCAAACTTGTGAAATTAAATTATATTGAACTGACCTAGAATACTCAATCCAATAGTCAAACTCTTATATGTATATAGATTAAGGAAGCATTTAATTTTATTTAATTGGATATTAATTGAGTTTATTACTTTTAACATGATGCAGATAGAACAGCAAAGAGTACTAGCAGCTGGGGTGAGGTACCCAATACAACACAACAACAACAACAACAACTAGCTAAAACAAAAACAAAATTTGCATTAAAATCTCACTTATAATTTTGCTTACTAATTTTGATTCCTATGTTTTCAGAATTAGGTAGGGTTTGGTGGCATACCATTATTAGTAATTTTGTATGCTTAATTAGCTTAAAATGAAGATCTTTAATTGCTAATTATGTAATGGGATCGGATCAAATCAAATCAGCAGTAGTTTGTAAGTTTCAATGTTTGCTTTTTTTAGAGGCAATAATGAATGTGCAGTTAATTAATTTTGGGCGGCTATAGTTTTGATTGTTCTTCTGATTTTTGTGATCTTCTGAATCTCATTTGAATTGTGTATTTGACTTCTTTTGGCAAAGCAATTTAATGACTGGTACAATCAGTAGGTAAATGTGCTTTTTGACAATTTTTCACAAATCAATTAAAATTTGTAGAAATTTGAGATGATTTATTGAGGAAGCTTTTGTCAAATTTCTCATTTGAAATTAAGTACTTACTTTCTCTGTCTCCCAAAGTTCATTATGTTTTGATTTTTTTTTTCTTTTTTGGCGAAAAATCACTGTCCAAACAGAAGTAACATTAAGAGACAATGGGACTAGCAATTGAATCACGAAGTTGTTCAATGATTTGTGCATAATTTTGACATAAATTGATGTTTGAAATTTAAGCATGTTGTATTAAAGTGCATGATTTAACAATAGTAATCCGTAGTAATAAATGTAATAAACTAGCCGACCTTTAAGGACTTGATTCTTACCCTAAATTTAAGGGGTATCCTTGAAGCACAATGGTATATATTTTTTTTTCTACCCTCACTTAGCTTTATGAATAACAATTGTTTACACATGTGCGGTGCTTTTTTTTTTTTTTTTTTTTTTTTTTTTTTTTACCATTGTTAAGTGTTAGTGGACCAACTCAACCAAAAGCTTAAGCTGATAGCTATGTTGCACGGATACCGACACGGACACGGACACGGACACGATACGGACACGGGAAAACGGCAATCCTGAAATAGGGGACACGGGTACGGCATATAACAAGGCATATAATATATCAAAAAAACGAGAATTTGACAACCTATTCAATAAAACACTAAATAATTAGCCTCAAAACACACAATTTTGTTAAAACAAGTAAATAAACAAAGTGTACGAACGTAGTCTCATACATATCAAGAAACCATCAAACCAAATACATGTCTTAATAATAGTTTTACAAATCATAAATAAAATAAACAAAAGTACTAATAGTTTCATTCTTCACCATCACCAGAGAGATTAGAATTGGCAGTCATTGTATATGAACTAACATAGTAAGGGTTTCTAGCAAGATTAAAAGGCAACCCCCCTGTGTAAAACATTCTAGCAATTTCAGAATCCAAGTGGTCACGAGATTTCACATTAAAAGCATCGAAAATTGTATTTTTTGATTTCCTCTTCTTTACATTATCAAATGAACCTAGTCTCATTGATGTAGCTTCAGTTGATGTGTGAGAAGATATGGGTTCATTTGAAAAAGGTGGAACTTTTGGTAACAAAGATTTTTTATAATCCTCGGATTCACGATGAAGCGATCTTAGTTTAGCAAGGTCATCAATTTTCACTTTATTACAAGTTTGAATCCCTTTCCCTTGTTCACCTAGCAAATGAGCTTTCACTCTAGTGTATGAACCATTTTTAACTTCGCCGCAAAAGTTACATTTCCAATTATAATTTCCTCCACCACCCGATATTTTATCACCCTTAACAACAAACTTCCACAAAGGGTAGAGGTCTTTCATTGACTCAGATGAATTACTACTACCACTGACATTGCATGAAGCAGAGGAACTAGAAGACATTCCTGACAATTTCAGCAACACAACAGCACATTTCAGCAAGACAACACAGCAAAGTGAGCAAAACAACAATACAATTTCAGCAACCAGCAAGTCAGCAATACAATTTCAGCAACCAGCAAGTCAGCAACTCAGCAATACAATTTCAGCAACCAGCAAGTCAGCGAGTCAACAATACAATACAATTTCAGCAACCAGGGCACAATACAATTTGACAGCTGAACCCATCTCACAATTAACATCACAATTAACAATTAACATCACATTTAACAATTAACAATTGCGAATTACAGTGATACTGCCTCCACGGCTCCACCTCACAATTAACATCAGCATTCAGCAATTGAATTTCAGAAAACAAAGTACAGAAGACAGAAGTCAGATAACCCTTACCTGGTGGTGGACTGGTGGCTGGCGAGTGGCGACGGACGGTACTGGGTGGTGGACTGGTGGCTGAGGACGAACAACGACAGCCTGAAACCTAGGTTGAGCGAGTTAGCTACTGAATTAATTGAATTTAAAAAAAAAACAAAGTACAGAAGCCAGTCAAGCCACGACCTGAAACCTAGGTTGAGGGTTTTACATGGTGGTGGTCTGGTGGACTGGTGGCTGGCGACACTGGGGTGGTGGCTGAGGACGAACAACGAGCGGCGAGTGAAGTCTGTGTCTCTGTGAGAGTAGGTTGTAGGCGACGAAGCGACGGTGAACTGAGTGACGGTCTGGACCAGCAGCAGCAGGTGAAGCGACGGCGGTTATCGGCGCGACGGTGAGTGGCTGACGATCTGGGACTCAGGGAGCTTGAGTAAGGCAGTAGGTTTGTGAATTGTGAATGGAGGAATTGAGAATGTGAGAGAGTCAGAGAGAATGGAGGAAGTTGGGCTTGTAAAGCCGTAATTGCGTGTCCATCACAAAACGGACCGTGTCTGGGTGAGACACGGCCCGTGTCCGTACAGAAGAAATTCAAAAAAAAAAACGGACACGAATTTTCGCGTGTCCAAGACGTATCCCCCCGTGTCCCACGCGTGTCCGTGTCCGACACGCGTGTCGACTCGGACACACCACTTGGCAGGCGTGTCCGTGCATCATAGGCTGATAGTTGAGGCCCAGGAATATGGTTTATACTCTATCACTCCCCCTTACATGAAAGGCCCTTTGGGCTTGAAATGTGGATGCAACACAGGCCCACTCATACTTGGCGCAAATTAATTCCACTTTGAAGAAGGGGTGGATGAGATTCGAACCCGTGACCTTTATGTCACGCTGCCTCTGATACCATGTTAGTGGACCAACTCAACCAAAAGTTTAAGCTGATAGTTGAGGCTCAGGAATATGTTTTATACTCTATCATTAAGGATGCCATTTTAGCCTTGTGAGTAAAGTGAAAAGTTAAGGTGAGTAAAGTGAAATGTTAAGGATGCCATTTTAGCCTTGTTACAATGGTTGTGAGAAAGAAACAAGTAATAAATGTAGATAAACAAGAGACGGATAGATTTATGTGGTTCACGAACAACGTATTAGCTACATCCATAGGCTAATGAGAGACTTTATTAATCTTGAGGAATTTCATATCATAGATAAATAATGAATAAAATCATAGAAATAACTATGAATGAACCCTAAATCGAGTATTCTAAATCTTCAATATAACTCAATAACACATTTATAATGTGGAAATATTATTAATATTATTAGGTGCATAATTAGCCCAAATAGAATCTAGTAAGCAACGAAACTTACTTGACAGATAATGATTGAATACTTATTTAAGGAGTGTAATAAATCAATATATGAGTTTTGTATTTTTAGTTTTAGTTTTAAAACAATTAACAAATAATAGTGATGAAAGTTAATTATTCAACAACCATTAATTATTATGAAATTCCAACCTACACTAAATTATGATTATAATATAATTTCATTGAAAACCTATGTTATTTTTGTTCATCGTTATGTATTTTCTTGCTCGCCATCTTTTTAATTTTCTAAAATTTGGAAATACCAAGAATATATTATACTTTCAGCCTTTTGGGTGCAGCTAAAATATTGCTGCTATGTGCCTTATTTTGATCACCATCCACTTCTCGTTGACTTTCACGGTCATGGTGGCAATCCGGTGTAGATGGTGGTGGTTGATGTTTATGCTAAATTTCGTCAAGTAGGATTTGATGTGGGATACGGGCTACGGATCAACTAAATTAAAACAAGGAACATTGGATGCGGAAAGTAAATGACGGAAAAATAAAGAAAGAGAGGGGAGACACGATATGGTGACGCGGAAAACCCCAATGAAGGTGGGTAAAAACCGCGGGTGGCAATGAGGCCACCAATCCACTATAGTACGGGCATAAAGGCAATATTTACAAGTACAATATGTGTATATTAATTGATAACAATAAAGCATATATAGAAGTAAAAGTAATCAGCTAGTACGTGGTCTTTGTAGTATGATCAGGGGGATTGTTGGTTGTAGTCTTGTGTGTAGAATTATATCCTTGCAAGATTACATAAGAGATTAAAATATAGTAGCGAGCTGAGGTGGGAGTATTTATAGTGGAATGTCTATGTAGCGATAGGTCAAAGGGTTTGCTCTACATATTGTAGTTCTTGGGATTATCAGGAAGGTTTGAGATGAATAGAGTATATTATGCAATGGGATTAATCATGGATGAGTGTAGTGGAATCTAAAGGATTATATAGGGAAACGCTATACGTGCGTAATGACTTCTAATTAAAGGATTAAATATAGTAGCTTGGTTATGCATTTTGGTAATGGAAGATCTAGATGGATGGAAATACGGGTGTGAAAGAGCAGTATATGATATGGCTAGAGGAAGATTACATACGCCGGATTTTTCTCTTCATGGGAAGAGGGCTTTCCTATTTATAGAGATTCAAAGTAGCAGCATCGTGGTTGTGAGATACTTCGGGTGGTTGTTGCATGATTTCCTCCACCACTTCCTCAAATAGTGGGAGTAGCGGTTATCCCTTTTACTTGGTCTCCAATGAACTTGGACTTGCTTAGAGTGTAGATACGTAATAACAACCTTGAAGAATTATTCTTGTTGACCCATTGTCCCTCCTTGATTCTAGGAAGCACTCGTAACTATCTTGACCCGGTCTTGTAGCGTCAATCGTTGACTATCATTATCGGTCAACCATTGTACAAAATTACCCCATAACAGTTGACACGGTGGTTGTGGGTTGTGGTGGTCGACATGGTGGTGTGGGTTGTACTGGTGTCTTGATTTGAGGATGGACTTATGTTAAAAGAAAGAAAATGGAAAATATTTTTTTAGTAAGGACAAGGATGCCTCTTTATTTAAAATAATGGCAGTTTGATAATTCTTTATGACGGTATTTAGCATTTTAAATTTTGATTGGCTAAATGCCTAAGCCCACAACTCGGATTTATATTTTTAATAGTCATGTAATTTGGACCAAACTTGTGGTACTAGAATTGGAATTGTTTTGTAAAGGCAAGACCACATCCTTCTATAGGGCTTACAGCCATTGATCAAAATTGGCCTAAATCAGGCTTTGGCTTTTTTGGGCTATTCACTCGTACTGGCTAGCCCATTTCGTAAGATTCTTAAATTCGGTGACATTTTTTTTTTCCTCCAAAAGATGGAACATTTTTTAAGGTGATTGTGTAATGAATAGTTGATGATTTGCAAATCTTTATTCACACCCCACGTTCTAGTGCAAGTATCTTCTTCAATTTTTTGAAATTCCATCAAAGAACCTTTTTTTTTTGACAAAAGATAACATATATTGTTTTAATGCTATAAGTACTACTATCAACGTATCACAGCCAAGTTTGGGTTGGGTTGTAATTTGAGCCAATATTATGGACAACTCACATATGAAACCGAGTGTTGAGCCCATCATATGTGAATGAAAGTATTGTCTCATATTGAAAGAATATAAAAGTGAAGATGAGATGTGTATCGTATATTAAAGAAAAGATAAAGGTGTGTCCATTTTATAAGGCTAAGGAGCTATTTCTCTCATTTCCATATGATTTTAAGGTAAAT